AATCCAAACCATTCTGTGATTTTAAGAGGAAAAGGGACATATTCTCAAGTTCTTTAAAAAAAAAAAAAAAAATCAGTTACAAAGCAGAATTCATACAAATATCAAGGACAGCCACATTTTTGCTACATAAAAAAAGATATTTCAATACTCACTTGGCAGAATTTTTTTAAAAGCAATCCTACTATCTGAAAAAAATCAAGTAGTTATTAAAAGGTTCTGAAACCCCTGATGCCTATCTAAAGATATGACAAGACTAGCACCTCAGGTAGGGAAATGTGTTGGCTTTCCAGTTCCCAGGTATAACTCCTAGTACTGATTATTTAGCTTTATCCATGTCCATGGTAAGAGAGCAATTCTAAAATTAACAAATAGATGCAGAGACAGGCATAAATGTCTTTTGGTACCTTAAGATCCTCGTTGAGGATGTGTCCATACTCTCTGTAAATTTTATTCAACTCCTTGATTTTATTGCCCACACCAGTGTCCAGGAATTTCTCAATCTCCTGTAATGCTGATTCTGCACCATCCTGAGACTGACACTTATCTACCGGCTGCAAAGCCAGCAGACAAATTCCTTCATCGCACCACTTCATAGACTAGAAACAGAGAAAAGAACAGGCTCAGAATGCACTGATGTCAGCATCAAACACTAAGGTCTAAAACATTTTGTACCTCTACTTGTGACATATTCAGCTATTTAAGGAGAAAACTTCCAGCACATCCAGGTATTTTTACCTTCCCTTGTGATAACTGGCTGTTTAGCAAGTGAGGTTTTAGCAAGCCAGATGGGAAACAGAACTGTTCCATACAAAGTTTACCTTTTCCAGCAAGCCATGCAGTTCTAGAGATTTGTTAAGAAGATTCCTCCTCCGTTCTGTCTCAGTAGTAAAGGCATCACAGAGATAATGAAGTTCACTGCATTTTGGAATAATGGAGTCCACTGCATAATGATTACTTTGAATAAAAGCATCACCCTCTGAGGCTAGCAGTCTGGCTTTTGCTATAGTTTCCTAAGGAAGCAAGCACTGATTTAGGTACATCTTTCTTTGGATCAACAGCAATGAAATGAATGAAATGAATTAAAAATTATACCATTTATTTTTACACAGTAAAATACACATGTTGATACAGAAGACATCTTTAGTTAGCAGCTGCCTTTTTCAATAAATCAAAACCATTTCCTGTCTTCCCAGATGTGCAAGAACTTCTACGACTCCTTTATTTCTTTAGACTACTTCTGGAACAATAATAATAATATATACAATCATACGGCCTCTGTGAGGGAACCCCTATTAATCCTTCTATGCCTTAGCTACTCAGCAGCGTGTCTGTGTGCTTACGTATGCAATTTGGAGTGTGGCAGCAGTCTAAAGCCAAATTAAAAACTACCTAACTCCGGCACCTCAGCCTTAAAAGCAATGACCTCACTCATAGAGCTCTATATTTTATTGTGAAGCACAGATCATAATGAGGTTTCCGTTCTGCATTGTTCAGAGTGTATAATTCCATTGGTCATCTTTTAACATTCTGTACATTCAATACGCAGCCTTCTCATTCCTGAGATTTAGTGACATAAGTGTCTCTAACAGGAATGGAAGCAACACCCTGGTCACTATGTGCAGAACAAGGCTACGTAGATGCTTCACGAAATTCTTCCATGAACTGATCACACCGACCTTACGAATGGTCACTGCTCTTTACTGAGGGATGCCCAAGAACTGGGCTGCTCCAATGGTTAGAGACGTTATTCCAAATTCCTTCTGCATGTTACTTGAGGCACTGATTCTGCCCTGCTGTCAGCTTCAGCTCTGCTCATAGAATATACTCTGTAACCAAATACTGTTCCCCTCCACACATGCACTGCTGTACTGGTAATTAAGGAGACTTGCAGAGTTCTTACGCATGATTTTTCTTCGAAGCTGGTGAGATCTTTCAAAATGTGCTCCACATGTGAACAGCTGTTTCCCACACCTGTGAAAGCAGACAGTCTCTCGGACACAATATCCAAAGCTGCTTTGACCTGAAATGAGACAAAGCTATGCATCAATGAAGATGATTCCACCTCTCTGGAGAACCATCAGTAAAATAGCTGGTAGCCACTATTTCCAGGCAATTGGCTCACATTATGGGGTTATCGGGACACAGAGACAAATCACTTTTTTGTCAGCCTACCTTTACCCCCAATTCAAAATGAAAACAAGTACAGAGAAAAGTCAGTGAAGTAATACTGTTTCCTGGTACTGAAAAAAGAAAAATTGCAGGAAATCTAATGCTCAGGAAACATTTACGATCTTGCTTTTACCAGATGACAATAATACAAAGCGACATTAATGTAAATAGCAAAACATGAGGGAGAGGTCCTTACTCTAACAACTAGTTAAGAGAGACACAGACAGACACACACATTTGTAAGAGAGTTTCTGAGTGTTTCTCTGATGGAGGCACAGGGCCTGTGCTCTGAGATCAGCTACACCAGCATAAAGTGACTGTAGGTGCCATCAAGCATATGAGTTAAACTAACATGAGATCAGAAACTGGCTGTAAAAATTTTAGTTCAGCCTCCACCCAGCTTCTAACATTGTGGTTGCAACTTCCCACCCACAGTGTTGGAGACTGTTTTATAAAATTTCAGCCAGAAGGTTTAGGTAAGTCTTGGTTGCAATAAAAGGGCCTGTTGGCAAGATGAAAGCTTTGCAGCCAGCATATTATGTTTCTGTGGTGGAGAACAGGTTTCAAAGGAGTTTTTGAATGCTTATACACTGCTAGGCTGGTGGAAAAAATATAAGGCTGAAGAAGAGAAGCTATTATGTCTCTATATGCAAGTATTCACGGTAGTAAAGATAGCAGGATGTCAAGTAAGGACAGAAAGAAAAAGGTTGGAGAAAACTTTCAAGCACATGCAAGAGCTGCAAAAACAAGAGGGGGATGTATTTTCTTCTGAATAATGTCTATATTACCAAATATTGACCGCCACCAAGAAGTTCTCACCTCTCTGAAATTCTGCTCAAAATTCCGAAGGCGCAGACACTGCTCAAGTTTTTGCTGATGCTTAATCCAAAACTCATCAAAGGCAGTCTCTGTTTCATGTAACTGAGCCAGAAGTCTTTAAAAAAAAAAAAAATCAAAAAAAGAAGAAATACTGTAAGACTAATGGGTGCAACCTTTAAGGGACAATGCAATCTTCCACAGCAAACAAAAAGCCTCCCCAAAGCAATGTTTTCCAGAAAAAATAAACTGGATACAGGAAACTTTTTTTGAGTATTGCACAGAATTGTTTCCTAGAATAACATTGATGTAAAACTGAAACCCAACACAAATATTAAGTTCTGAAAAATTGGCAAGTGCTGATTTGAAGCTAGCTGCTGCGCGTACTACTTCTCAGCTCTGGCCTGGGGACATGGGGACTTGGGGCTAGCAAACATAAACACAACATGCAAATGTGGGTGGGCTAGGGCTCAGAGGAACCCAAGCCTTGGGCTATAAAGAAAAATGAAGGCAAAACTTTGTACTGCTGTGACCGGCCAGCTGTCCTTACATTCATTCCTGGGAGCGAGGCTCATAACAAACCTGAAGGTCATTGCTCCTCCTGACCAGCGTTACTACCTTAATATCACAGGCAAGCGCACAGCAGTACTCCAATGAAAAGGATCTTCTTCAATTATAATGTTGGCCAATGCCTTAAGATTTTTACTTTTCAACTTATCTGCCAATATTGCATTTGATAGTATGGTTATCCTACGGACTTATCTTTATAGTGTGCTTTGCTCTAAATCCAGAGAAGGCCATACCTCAGATTTTTAATGAATTTTTGTCTTTAATGGCACAGAAACAAACCCTGAATTTACAAGTTAAAACTGATTAGAAAAAAGGCGGGGACACACACAGAGTTTGTTCCAACTTCCATCAGACACTGTACAGAGTGGGAACGTTTCCGGATAATTTAGCAGCCCCCTCCCCGACTGTCCTTCAGATAGCTGATAGCAACTATGACCCAAAGAAGTGACTTGTGCCAAGCTTTGTGGATTGGAATGGACAGTTACTTGGAAAGAAGAGTCAGCCTGACTGTAACAGAAACATGGAATGACAGGCAAAAAAAGAATGCAGAGTACTGCCTGGGGGAAATGAGCTATGCTTTCACAGTTTTGTGAAAATTTACATCTGTGCTATGGTGATACAATGTCTTCAAACCTGGCAGTAGTTTAAGGAGGGGTGGGGATGGCAGAGAGCAAACGAAAACAACACCTAGTACTTACATGCCCAAAGAAAGCATATAGGAAGTTTGGGCATAGAGCTACTCCCCAGTAGCCCTTTGAAGGCTACTAAGGACACTGATGTCAGCAATATTAGAATCTCCCCTGAGCAGGTTTAAAGAAAAAGAAACCTCCCACTTCAGTTCAAAAGGACTTAATGGAAATGGTCAAATCTACTGAAAAGATGAGGCATTATCACTTCTGTCTTCCCTCCTGCTTTC